AACTTGCATCAGTACTGTACATGCTGAATTTTGGTCTAATGGCATACGTTTTACACACATAAGCAGATGCAAATACTTGACAAGCGTGCGAACAAACCTCAGCAGTCAAAAGGAGGTGATATTTCCCTCAAATGACATTAAAACAAATGCAATATTATGCAGGTAGCTGCCTTTTACATGTCAATTGTAACTTTAACCAACTTCCTAAAGATTCTCTTCAAATCCCTGCTCTGCCATCACAGTAGTTTTCCTGAAACAGAAAAGTGACTGTAGAAGAAGACAGTTTATGCTAATGATTGCTATACTGTCCCTTGAGGCAATGCTCAGAATATTACTTGTAGTCACATTGCATTAGGAATTGGGTTCTGACACGTTCCGGAAAGCAATAATGCATGAAATTGAGCTTGTGTGGCTAGAAGCATTTAGTCTCACAAACTCAAAATGACCAAAAACACACATAACTACCGAAGTCTCATAATTGAATCGTAATGTATCCAACTACAATATACATTATAACTCTGTTCTGAAACCTAGTGAGCTATCATTCAAAAGTTTGAGGTCAGTAAGATTGCTTTTTTTAATAAAATTAATACTTTTATTGAACTAGGACACATTAAAGTGACAGTAAAGATATTTACAATGTAAAGATATTTATTTATTTATTTATTTGAAAATATTTCCGTTTCAGAAAACGTTCTTTTAAACATTCTATTTATCGAATAATTCAGAAGAAAATGTTACAAAATAAATTAAATTTATGCTTAAGTGTTAAAAGTAGCAAAAGTGTTTTCAACATTGCTAATAATAAAAAATTGTTCTTGAGCACTAAATCAGCATATTAGAATGATTTTTGAAGGATCATGTGACTGCAGTTATGATGCTGAAAATTCAGCTTGGCATCACAGGAATAAATTACATTTTGAAATATATTCAAATAGATAACAATTATTTAAACTGGTAATAATTTTTCACAATATTACAGTTTTTGCTGTATTTTTGATCAAATAAATGTAGCCTTGGTGAACATATGGGACTTCTTTCAAAAACATTAAAAAAATCCTACAGACACCAAACTTTTGAACAGTAATGTTTAAAACAAAATAAAAAGAATAAAATAAATATTTTTAATTATTTGTATATGTATAAAAAGCAGATCAGGGGTGTTTATCCTTTAAAACATTTACAAAAATAATATTAATAATAATAAATCATACCAACCCCAAACTGTTGAACGGTAGTATACTTGTGTCCATAGTCTACAACATAATTAAAACTAACCCTTCATAAATGACTGTTTCAGTTTTGGACAGTTTCATTACATACTAATTAGGCTGAACTATTTATTTAAAGCTTTTTACTATTAAATTAATTCTAAGTACATTATTTAAAAATAATTGATCTTGCTTCATTCATGGATTTTTTTTTCTCCAAAGGAAGGTGTCTTAAAAGGCATAATTATGCTGCCTACCTCCTGGAACAGCTCTTGTGTCTGAATCGCACCTTAAATACTGCCTAACCAGGAGGCTCACTAGACTTTGGAGCTTTTATGAAGTTTACCTCTTCCAGGATGGTTTTTACCATAAATCTTTTTAAAAAGACTCAAATAGCCTTGGTGAACATATGGGACTTCTTTCAAAAACATTAAAAAAATCCTACAGACACCAAACTTTTGAACAGTAATGTTTAAAACAAAATAAAAAGAATAAAATAAATATTTTTAATTATTTGTATATGTATAAAAAGCAGATCAGGGGTGTTTATCCTTTAAAACATTTACAAAAATAATATTAATAATAATAAATCATACCAACCCCAAACTGTTGAACGGTAGTATACTTGTGTCCATAGTCTACAACATAATTAAAACTAACCCTTCATAAATGACTGTTTCAGTTTTGGACAGAAAAAAAATCCTACAGACACCAAACTTTTGAACAGTAATGTTTAAAACAAAATAAAAAGAATAAAATAAATATTTTTAATTATTTGTATATGTATAAAAAGCAGATTAGGGGTGTTTATCCTTTAAAACATTTACAAAAATAATATTAATAATAATAAATCATACCAACCCCAAACTGTTGAACGGTAGTATACTTGTGTCCATAGTCTACAACATAATTAAAACTAACCCTTCATAAATGACTGTTTCAGTTTTGGACAGTTTCATTACATACTAATTAGGCTGAACTATTTATTTAAAGCTTTTTACTATTAAATTAATTCTAAGTACATTATTTAAAAATAATTGATCTTGCTTCATTCATGGATTTTTTTTTCTCCAAAGGAAGGTGTCTTAAAAGGCATAATTATGCTGCCTACCTCCTGGAACAGCTCTTGTGTCTGAATCGCACCTTAAATACTGCCTAACCAGGAGGCTCACTAGACTTTGGAGCTTTTATGAAGTTTACCTCTTCCAGGATGGTTTTTACCATAAATCTTTTTAAAAAGACTCAAAGGTTTATTATCCATGCAATGCATTGCAAAATATCCAATATGCATAAACATAACAGGATTAACATTACATAAATAACAGATGCATAACCCTATGCGTTAGGTGCTTTATTTGCTGTACAATTTAAGGAAAGCTCAACTCCGTGATGCATTGCTTTATAGTATGTGCTGAAGTTTAATTCTAAACATTAAATCACTAACTCTAAATAGAAGCAATAACAGCAAAGCTTGACCTGGCAAACACTACTAAAAATCAATGCATCTAATCTAAGTCAAGGAACTAATCAGCGTTTGTGCAGCAGGATCAGGTCAGATTGTGATGGACGTCTCTCTCGTTCTCGGAGGAGAGGAGGAGCAGATCAAGCTGCGTGGAGCAGCTTTTACTGTTTAGAGAGATAAAGCCGTGATAATTCATCCTAAACCCAACCTGTCAGAGATCCGCTTCCACACTGCAGCACATGGGGCTTGATAAACAGAGATGGAGGTTAGAAATGAAGACTGGACTTGCCACTTACAGAGACATGGAGAACTCTGGATTCACGAAGCAGAAATACGGTTCGGTTTTAAAGAGAATGCATGCAAGGCTTCATGTCTTCAGACATTCAATAGACAGCACAATCTATTATGATTTTTCATAATGTTGACATTAAATTGGATAAATTAAGTGGAGCTGGCCCTTTAATGCTCCTGTGCTTTTCAGAAAGAGTCCAATAGCACCAACATTATCAGCATGAGCTTTATTTCACACTCTATTCTGTAGCTCAAACAGCAGAACGCCAAAGTCATGGGTTTGATTCCCATGAAATGCATGAACCGATAAAACATATACACTGAATGCAATGCAAGTTGCTTTAAATAAAAGCATATCCCATTTAATAACACATTAGCCTTGCTTATAGATAAATCCTGGCCAAATCTTCTACATCTACACTTTTATCTGAAATATATGTGCACCAATCTATCCCTGCATGTCCGCTTTGGATGCCATTAGTTTGCATTCAGCTCCTCCTGCATTGTATCAGATTACTTACTTTCTCAAATGCATTTTGCAAAGTTATTATTCGAATCTTTACTTTAAAAATTTATATTTAATTCAACGCGTTGCTTGCCACTTCTTTGTTATTATTTGCTAAATTTGCTAGCAATTTCTGAGTGTAAATCATAGACCATTTTTTTAGTTAATCGAACACCTTTCTTCATGCAAAAGGCAGATTTTCTGATGCTATCTTCTCAAAATTATGACCTAAGCCCACTAACGTCAATATTACACCAACTTTATTTTATTTTAGTTTTAGTTATTCAAACACCTTTCTACATGCAAAAGCCAGTTTTTCGGAAGCTATCACATAAAAATATGACCAAAACCCACCAACGTCAATCTCACACCAATTTTTTGTTAATCGAACATCTTTCTATATGCAAAAGCCGTTTGTTCTGATGCTATCTTCTCAAAATGATGACCTGAACCCATTAACATCTCATAAAACAGCTGTTCTAGCTTAACTCTAGTTTAAAGTTCTTCAGCCTACTTTAAAGCAAACTCACATTTTGGTCCGATTCTAGTACGAAACACCACCTTTTCACAAACCAATGAAACTAAAATGGGCTGAGATGCCATTTCTGTTGACATGAAAGAGTACTCGCTAATGTCCAGTTCTTATTAATCTGTAAATTTCAGTGTTAACTGTCAATATTCAACGAACAATGAGCACCTGATTTCTCATCATCCCCAGAAGCAATTACAAGCAGATAAATGGGCAGCAAATTCGCCTTATGTTCTCTTCTCTTCAGAAGATTAATACCTCACACGATTCAACATGACATTCAATACAGGGAGAAAGAAAAATTGATTTCTGCCTGTAGCTGGCTAGAAAATCAAGGTGATTTGAGAGCTTTAGGGCATAATATCACACAATAACGATATACTGGTTTCTTTTGAATAATATTATTCAAAAAATATATAAAAAATTAGTCCAAAAAACAGAACAGGAAAAGTTGAGACTTACTCAAGTTACATCAAATGCCACAAGTTTATTTCCCCTAATAAATCATTCCTAAGAAATTAGCTATGGTACATTAAACTTGCCTGTCCCGACTGTGTTGATATATGAACTGAAATTCATTTACACTATATTTACATAAGGTTTCCATTTATATGGAAATTATTTCTGCCATTTCAGACCCACCAACAATTTTGTAGAAGCATCCACTGCCCCGTAAATCTATTTGATCTTCACAATAGTTCCTGGATGCTGGCGAATATCAGAGAAACTAATTCATAAAATCATTAGGAACTTCCGCTGGTTGGGTAAGAAAGAAAAACAAAAGGAAAAGAAAGGCAATCCACCCCGACTCGTCTCATCTTGTGGGTGTTGATGAATGGGGGGTTTTATTGAAAGTGAAAGGCTGGGAAGTAATAAATATATCATCAAGTTGTGCAGGTCGAAGATAGCGAGGGATTCTTTCGGAAACTGGAGGAGCGCAACAAAACATTATAACGGCTAAGAAAACTTTCTAAAATGATTTGTGGCTGAAATAGAATTTACCTTTGGGATGCCAGGGGTCCGTGAATTCGTATTTCCCCAATCCGACCGTTCTTAGCATCTGCAGGCTGTTGTTGGTGCTTTCCTGTTGGCCGTTCGTCAGTGGCGCCGAGGAGCTCATGGTGGCGGATTGCACCATGGTATGCGTCAATGGGCCATTGCCCACCACCGTGTGGACGGGATGGGCGACCTGGCAGATGCTGGGCATTGGAGGCAGGCCGCCGACGGCGAGGGATTGGCTCTGGACGTTGAGGACCATGTTGGTCATTGGCTGTGAAGGCTGCTGTGGGAGTTGGTAGTGTGTGGGTAATTGTGGATGGGGGTTTTGGAGCGCCGGGGTCACACCGACGATGGGTGCTTGGACAGTCGTGCCCTGGCTGTAAGCTGGTGGCTGCGGCAGAGCGTATGTGTGCGCCAAGAGTCCAGCCTGGCTGACGGCGGCAGTGACTTGTGGCGGCCATAGAGGAGCTGCAGAAAGCGAAACAACATGCATTTAAAGTAGAAGCGTGTGATATGATGATATTAGATTGTGAAATAATAAAACGTCTCCACGATCTGCCTTTACAGAGAGATCATCAGTAGTATCAGTTGCAGATCTATGGCTGTTTTTGGATTAATATAGCATCTGATTATCATCTGTATCACAGTTATATTCACGTGACAATGTAGTTTATTATCTGTATGCGTTTGCAGGTGAATAGGGAAAAAAACAGACTAATGGACTGCACCATACTTGTTCAGTTGATTGATTATACTAAGAATTGCAAGTTTTTTTTGTTTAAGTTTTCTGAACTGTTACGGTTAAATATGCAAATAATGCATTATGTAATTAAATATGCACTAATTTGAATACACTTCCAGAAAATGAATCTGAACATTGGATAAACCAGGTTCAAAATTGAATTTAAAATTCTTGTTTCATTTGACTCATTAAAGTTAAAAGTTTTTACAGAGGGGATTCTGGATATCTTTTTTTATCACCCCATAAATCAAGAAGATACTGTTGAAAGCCATGTAAAATGTAAAAAAGCCAAATAAAATGTATAAAATGAGGCAAATGATATATGAACAAAACCCTCTATAAAAACTAGCAACATATAGATAGGAATAAAACTGTAAAGTTTGGTGTATGTAAGTGAAAACAAAAACTACCGTTTTTTCCAAGGAAATGTCTTTGAGAAAATGACCTTTACAGATGCAAATACACAAAGTGCAATAAAATAAACTTTTAGATCTGTATTTTGGATGTTTTCTTTACACTAGTCTGACACAACATGTTTTTGAAAAGCCAAAAAGCCCCCCAAAAATCTCAAAATTGACCAGTGCAACCAGTTATCTTTCTAATACCGTATTTGTCTTATTGTTTGTATCTTTGTTTATATGTGACCCTGGACCACAAAACCAGTCATAAGGGTCAATTTTTTTAAATTTAGATTTATACATCATCTGAAAGCTGAATAAATAAGCTTTCCATTGATGTATGGTTTGTTAGGACAATATTTGGCCGAGATACAACTATTTGAAAATCTGGAATCTGGCATTTTCCATGCCACTGTTTAAAGAAAGTATGTATTATTACATGAACAATTACTTTTCTCAATATTTACAGAATAAAAATTCAATTAGAAAACAAGACACTCAAGACTCAAGAAGCTAACTGGCCATATATTGGCTGATTAATTAATCTGGCTAATATGATATTTTCTGAATTTAATTTTGCTCGCAATAATGAATTGAACAATTAGATTTTATTAAAGATCCCATTAAATGGTTAGACAAACACAATTTTCATTAAAACAAGAAATTGGGGCTTGAAGCATAAAATGGATCCTTCACAGGCAAGAATGCATAAAAAAAAAATAAAACACACACACATATCTATCTATCTATCTATCTATCTATCTATCTATCTATCTATCTATCTATCTATCTATCTATCTATCTATCTATCTATCTATCTATCTATCTATCTATCTATCTATCCATCTATCTATCAAGAAGTATTCAATCATTTAAAATAATTATTCTATTATATATTTTAATAAATACAGGGCAGAATAAGTATGTTTTTTCATCTTTACATAAATCTATCTGTTACGTTGCCAACAGTTTATTTTCACAAAAGTTATTTAAAACATTATGCATTTTACCTGCACTTAATATGCTTTGTGTGTATACAAAATCACTTTTGTAAATTTTATTTACCAAAAATGGGACAACTCGTACAGTATGTCATTGTAATTAAAAACTGGTTTTGAATTAAAATGACTGGTTTGCACAATATTTCTGTGTGCCAAAGACAGCAAAAAAAATCTCAGTTTGTTTTTCTGGAACAAAGCCTTTTATTCATATTCATCTTTTGTGTCTGCAAAAGATGGATCTTATCATGCCGCTGACAGAACTCGCTGTTTCATAAGCAAGTCGAAGAGGAGAAAAATAAGTAGCTGAAGTCCTAAATGTCTTCTTGATTTTATGCCACTTTTATTTCATATGCATTTTTTTAAACTGTAAATAAAAAGAAGAAAACATAAAAAGCCATAAATCCACATCAAGTCTCCAATTTGTGTTTATAAACAGTTTGAAATATCTGCAGTGACACACATAAAGATGTATCCCCTTTTATGGTATTATGGCTTATGCTTATTTACTGAGCACTATGAGGAAGATAGCAGAAAATAAAACCACATCATTTACCTCCTAATAACACTGACAGAATCATCCACCAAAACCCCAGCGGGACGATTTCAGGGTTACAAGACTCTTCAACGGCAAACCAGAGTTTATTCTGTGAGCAGCTGACTGCATGTAATCCCTTGCATGTTAACCCCAAAATGACACATTTGACCCACTTCACCAGTCGCTGAAGACGTGGTCAACAGCCAGCGGCTAATTGAGTCCAAAAGAGCCGTGGACAAAACGTTACCTGCGGAAAAATAAAGCCATTTCTAATTATAATTTCCCTCGTGTGTCACGTCAAAAACCTGTGGCGTAACACGCACCTCTTAGCAATTTAAATGTGGACAACACGGCACTCATGTCATGATAATGTTCGAATATTAGCTGGAGTCCAGAAACAGCTTTTCTGCTCTGTCCCTTAGGCAGGAGCCACACGTTCATACCCCCACGAAGTAGGTGCTTAGTTTAGTGAAAGTGACCTGCTGAAGTTTTCAAAGTGCACCAGGAGAGCAAGTGGAATTATGATAGCAAAGCTGTGGAGTTCACATGCACTCATCTGCAGCCGTACTGCATGCATTCAAGCGCGCTTTCTGTGTGCCTGCAGGCGCAGCGAAACGGCAAATATTACATTTCTAGCTCATTTTAGCTGACTTACTAAAATACTTCCATTTCTCTATCGGTTCATGCATGAAGAGCATCCACGAGGAAACGCTATGCACGCCGCATCTCGCTTTCAAGGTCAGAAGTTCAGAGTGCATGATCAGAATTAAAGAAGATGCACAAAATAAAACTGACCATTTCAGTTCTTTGCAAAACTGACTATACAGTATGAAACACACGGTACTCATGTAAAGCAGTTGCACATGTACATGCACATGTATTTCCTGCTAACAAAAACACAGACGATTTCTATGAAATCTGTAACAGTAAATATTCATATTATGCAATCATTCAAAAGTTTACACTCTAAAAAATGCTGGGTTGTTTCAACCCAACTTTGGGTCAAAATATGGACTAACACAACTTTTGGGTTAAAAATGTAATGTACAAATTTAACCCAACGGTTGGGTTAGTCCATATTTGACCCAAAGTTGGGTTGAAACAACCCAGCATTTTTTTTGTCTACACAATTCTTTTTTTTTGAAAGAAATTAATATTTTTATTCAGTAAGGATGCATTAAATTTATCAAAAGTGACAGCAAAGACATTTATAAATATTTCTTGAGCAGCAAATCAGAATATTAGATTGATTTCTGAAGAACACTGAAGACTGGAGTAATGATGCTGAAAACTCAGCTTTGACTCTCATTTTACATTTTAAAATATATCAAATAGAAAACAGTTTTCGTTCAAATTTTTGAATGGTATAAAATAAAAAAAATAAAAATAAAAAATAAATATAAAATAATAAAAATAAAAAATCTAATTATATATTATATATAAAATATATACTTTTTTTTTTTTTACAGTAAACAAAAACATTAATTATTTTTTTTATTAAATAAACGCAGCCTTGGTTATCTTTCAAAAATATTATATATTACAGACCCTAAACTTTTGAATAAAAAAAAAACAACTATTTTTAAATATATGTTTTAAATGCTACCTTACACCAGAATATTAGATTGATTTCTGAAGGACACTGAAGACTGGAGTAATGATGCTGAAAACTCAGCTTTGACTCTCATTTTACATTTTTACATTTTAAAATATATCAAATAGAAACAGTTTTCGTTCAAATTTTTGAATGGTATAAAATAAAAAATAAAAAATAAAAATAAAAATATAAAATAATAAAAAAAAAAAATTTAATTATATATTATATATAAAATATATACTTTTTTTTTACAGTAAACAAAAACATTAATTATTTTTTTTATTAAATAAACGCAGCCTTGGTTATCTTTCAAAAATATTATATATTACAGACCCTAAACTTTTGAATAAAAAAAAAACAACTATTTTTAAATATATGTTTTAAATGATACCTTACATAAAACAAAACAAAAAAAGACATGGCTTGGTTTGATTTTTATCCTGTGAATTAACTGGATTGTAAAAGGTGGATGTTACAAAGCAAAACACAGCCAGAAAATTGTAAAATGGTAAGGAAAAGTAGAAAATAGGGCCATGCGACGCTTTCAGATGACGCCCATAATTCAGACGTCTCTTCAGAGCGAGGTCTCTTTAAATGGCACGTGTTCGTTAATGTAAGAGGGCCTGTCAAACAGCGACAGCATGCTTCTGCTCATCCTCCATCCGGCGGTGTGTGCGCAGGATCACTTCCCGCAGTCAAATAAGCCGTCTCCATTCGAGCGGATGGCTGTCCTCCACCATCCTAATCCACCAGGCGTTGGGCAGCATCGCTCCCCGCCTCTCACAAAGCCAAATACACCATCCACACTGTCATGCTCTTATTTGCTATTACTATCTCTGCTGTCAACACAGAAGCCTCTTCCTCACCCGGCAGAAACGCTCGCTCCCGTGCCGCCAGCAACCGACGATGCATCATTTGTCAGGACCGTGGCTTTGTGAAGTAAGTTTGCGATTCCTTACGGCTTAAGGTGTCTTTAAAAACATCCTCAGAGACGGGAATCTGTGGTGGTCTCCCGCTGATGGGAACCGAGGAAAGAAGCTTCCCAAACGCCACGTCTTTCTCGTGTTGATGGTTCAAAGGAGGAACGCTTGGCCTTCAGTTTCCTATCTCTGCTGTCAACACAGAAGCCTCTTCCTCACCCGGCAGAAACGCTCGCTCCCGCGCCGCCAGCAACCGACGATGCATCATTTGTCAGGACCGTGGCTTTGTGAAGTAAGTTTGCGATTCCTTACGGCTTAAGGTGTCTTTAAAAACATCCTCAGAGACGGGAATCTGCGGTGGTCTCCCGCTGATGGGAACCGAGGAAAGAAGCTTCCCAAACGCCACGTCTTTCTCGTGTTGATGGTTCAAAGGAGGAACGCTTGGCCTTCAGTTTGTGCCTTTGGCCGCTGAAAAAGCTTCAGGCTGGAGCGGCTTTACCTTGAGATGAATTCTGTGAGCGTGCGGCTGCAGATGATTTTCAACAGCAAGGAGACGAGGCTCTTAAAAGGGTCACGGCTCCTCAGACCTGCGAGGGACACTGCTATATCTGTGAATGACAGGCAGAAATACACGGGTCTCAAAGTCAACGGTCCTGTTCTCTGATGTCTGGCTTCATTCAGACTGTGTCAGATTCACAAGCGAACAGAAAATGCCTCTGAAATCAATTCAGTCAAACTGAATTTTTGAATTGAAGCAGCAAACCATGGGCAAAATTGGTCATTATACACACAACATATATGTTTCTGTTGAGGGAATCCCACTTCATCGCTGTTCATTTTTACCTACACAAGGCAATTGGAGAAATTACATCTGGGTCCAAATCAAATGCTCCAAACAAACAAGGTGTGAAAATGGCCTAAAACAGGGAAATATAAAGGGAAAAGGTCTGTTTATTTTGCTATATTAACTATACTTGATACTTTACTTATTTGAATTGTATTCATATATTTATTTATATATTCCATTTATATATTCTGGCACACACACACACACACACACACCAAACCAGGTTTGTTTGGTTTTTTTTTTGTTTTGTTTTTTGCACAAACAAACCAAAATTATCTGAAATAAAATTCAAACGCTAACTAACTAAAATAAATAAATAATTAAATAAACATTGAAATCGTTTGACTTTTGTCTAGGTGGTATTCATTCATTCATTCAATTATTTTACTTTTGGGTAGTTTTGTTGATAGTTTTTAAAGATGTTGATATCCGTCTAATCTGTTTTATTAAAATAAAGAATACCTATAATTGATTATGTACTTATTTGCATTTTATTTTTTATTATTTAGTATCAATTTATATAATATTCATTTCTAGTTACAAATTGTATTTGTTATATATAAAATCAAGTGGTCCAAACAGGTTTTTACTGCAAAAGACGAACCAAAATGCTGTAAAAATCAAACACTACAACTGTTTTAATTTGGTTTGCCTATTTATTTATGTATTTATTTATACATACATACATACATACATAAATACATACATACATACATACTTTTGGGTAGTTTTGATGATTATTTTTAGGGATGTTTTGCCATCCTATATTTATTAGTACATTTTATTATTCTATTCTATTCTATTTTAATATTAATTTAATTTAATATTAATTTAATTTAATTTAATTTAATTTTCCACTGTCGGCTCTATGAGTTTATTGGACTAACTCCTAGTCACAATAGACAGATGTCAACATATTAATATCCTTAAAGAAACAGTCAACAAAACCATAAATACCTTGTAGACAAAGTTAAAGGGTCATATGATGTTGCTAAAAAGAACATTATTTTGTGTATTTGGTGTAATGAAATGTGTTTATGCGGTTTAAGGTTCAAAAAACACATTATTTTCCACATACTGTACATTATTGTTTCTCCTCTATGCCCCGCCTTTCTGAAACGCGTCGATTTTTATAAAGCTCATCGGTCTGAAAAGCGAGGTGTGCTGTGATTGGCCAGCTATCCAGTGCGTTGTGATTGGCCGAATACCTCAAGCGTGAGATGGAAATGTTACGCCCCTCACCATACTGTGATGATGCCCTGTCAGGCCGGAGCGATGATTCAAAAACATTAAAACCCATTATAAACGAGGCATTTGTTGCATCCAGTGGGGACATAATTATGGATTATAATGACTTATACTGTCTTTTTTCGCGTTGCGTTGCATTGCGCCGCGTAAACATAAAACCATGTCTGCATTTGTGATCGGAGAAATTACAAACAACAAGCCCTACTCTACACTGCCCAAAAAACTCGCTTTAAATATGAAAAATATAAAATATAAAAACTGTGCTTACAGTCAGAACAGCCGGCATTGTAGTCTACTAATAAAATGTGCTGCACACATCTGAATATTTGGGTTGAAGTGTTCTGGAACAGAGTTGTAAATACAACTTAACCACTGATTTCTAGTCGTGTCCATTTTTGGAAAGCCAAACAATGTAGTTTGGCCGGGGGCTATAATGAGCAGAGGCGGCAGGCTTGAGAACAGCGTGGCCGGCGGAATCGATGAAGGAGGCTTGCAGCAACCACATGTGACGACTCAGTGTTTGTTTTTTTAGACAATTTGGTTGACTTCTGTGTGATAAAAACTAGGTTTGATGTCACTTGATGTCCAAAGTAAAATCTGAATCAAAGCAAAACCACTGGTTTAATTTACCAAGGCCTTCCAAATAGTTTCCCCCCGGTTTCACAGACAAGGCTTAAGCCTAATCCCAGACTAAAATGTAAATCTGAGCTGTTTCAACTGAAAGAAACTTTGAAAGAAACTACTGCACACCCGTAATGTTTTTTTCTAAGGCACGTTTATAAAAACTACTTAAATGTCCTAATTGACCTATTGCCTAATCCTGGTTTAACCTAAGCCCTCTCTATGAAACCAGGCCTTTATGTCTAATCCGAGAATAAATGGGAATAATTAGCCAAATTAATCATGCAATTATGCTGCAGGACTAATGAAATTCATCTGACTGTTGAATCTGCCCAAATGGAGCAGAATTATGCCAACTTATGAATTGTTTACAGCAGCATGGCAGACAAGTTGTAATTATCTGTAATATGAATATGAAGTGGCGCAATACAAAAGCATGATGAGCAATTCAAAAGATCGCATAACGATGAGAAAATATTCCTTTGCAGGCTCTTCATTTTCTCGTCTGCAGAGTTCAAGAGTCCTGCGTGTTTTGGCATGTTCTGACTGGCCGTTTTGCATAATGCAGTTTCACTAAATCTAAATGAGAGGTTTTATTGATCCTAATTAGTTACCAATGGTATATTAATCATGTCACTATATTTGAGTGCCTCGCTGTTTTTTAAAATAAAAAGAAATGAAATACTTCTCTGATTATAACAATACATTTTAGTCTGATAAACAGTGACTTCTTTAAAAAGATACAGCTCTATTAAACAGCTTCACAGTTCTATTTATTTACATGAATAAATGTAAATTTTTTTCAAGTTTTACTGATGATAATTAGTTTATCAATGGTATACTAATACTCATTGTTTTTAACATAAACAAATGCAATTATTTCAATAAATAATTGAACACTTAAATAAATAATAAATTAATAAAGCAAATACATTTATATTTGATTGTAAAACTAAATTTTATTGTCTGATAAACAGTGACTTATTTAAAAAACTTTTCAGTTATATTACAAGAATAAATGTAAATTTGCGTTTTGATATTATATATCAATATGTATATTAATCGTGACACCATATTTGAGATCCTCGCTGTTATTTTAAAATAAACTAAATAAGTAATATGTATTACTTTAAAGAAAAATAAATGAAACAAGTAAATAAACAAGCAAATAAATGTTTCTTTGATTGTAACAATAAACTATACTGTCTGATAGTCACTTTAAAAAGATACAGCTCCATATAAAAGATATTGTCTGATAAACAGTGATTTATTTAATAAGATACTGCTTCATTAAATGTCTTTATTAGTAGCTTGCAGCATAACTAGAAAAGCCCAAGTGTAGTTGAACTTCATTTGATCAGCTTGTATTGTAATTAGCTTATAGAAAGTTTCAAAAGTAGCTTCATCAACACTTCTGCATTTTAATGAGTCTGAATGCGACAAATTGACCCTTTTGAGTCATTTGACAGTATTTATATCTGGCTCATAAGAGCGGCGACTCTTTTCTCAGGATCAAGACGAAAAGGCCACAAAGCCAATCTTCTCAGCGAGATTCGTAACTTAATATGCAAGCAAATTACTTTAGCACACACTCAATTATTGGCTGCTCACGCCACTGCTGAACTCCCGCAATAAAATCACAAAATGAGAGAAGCCAATATGCCGATACTTTAAATAATAAAACGTCCATCTTTTCACACAAAGACGTCTTTGTACATGGAATGAAAGATGCACAAGCATATTGCTTTTGACCCCAGACTTTCCCCAGTGTAGACGTCTGTAAATCTAAGATTGCTTTATTCTTTCCCCCGCCCCGCCCCGCTCCGGCCCGTCTGCAATATGAAAGCAGGTAGCAGGAGTTTCTTCTTGACACAGATCAATAAGCAGCCCCGCTCTTCCTTATCAGAGATGGCTTGTAGAGATACGCTGGTGGGGGTGGCTGCAGGGCTTTCATGATGGATGACAGAAAGATTGACCCTAAGATCCACCACTTCACGCGCTTTAATCTCCTTTTTTTGCCGCGAGCGGAGACAACAAACACATGTGGCACGTAATGACTCCGCAAAGCTCTCCGACTTGATGTGACCATCAACAGTTGCGTTTGAAGTGGCTCTATCCATGCACAAGGACAAACAATGCTAAATAACAGATATAACTAAATAAATAAAAACAACAACAAACAAAAAATTACATATAGAGTTAATATATACGTAATATATATAAAAAAAGAATTAGGTTAAATTAGGCTGATGTCAACACCTAAAAGTTTTTTTTTAATAAATGAATATATGAAGAGTTTGGTTCCAAAACGCTATAAATCCATTTTGATTAATTTGAGTAAAAATGTGTTTTCTTTACCAAGAAAGTGGCAAGGTGAAAACCCCTATTTTCTGTTTCAACCTTTCACATAGCATCTTTAGGTTATAATAACATTACAAATTCAAATCCAGATTTAGATTTTCAAAGATTTATTATAAAATTTTATAACTTTTTCCCCAAAATGCAATAAATCCATGACATGTTTTTTTTTCTTCCCAAAATGCAATAAATCCATTGAATCAATATAAAAGTTATTTTTCATATTGAAACTGTTGAAAATACACAACATAGTAAGTTGATCCACATATGACAGCCTCTGAACTTTGTCAATACTAATCTTATATACAAGCACTGGACTAAAAATACATTCAATCAGTCATCGCTCCAAAAAGAATTCAATGGGTAATCTTGTTAATGCTAAAAAATTAATTACAACAATAAAAGAAAATTGCATCATGAACATACATAAACAACAATATCACATTAAACCCCAGAAATTCCAAAATGACATTTCCCTTACATTCAACTTCCAAAAGTGCATTCATCTTTGCCATGTTACATTCATTTAGTTGACCTATGCTATACGCTGTATTAA